ACTACAGGTGCACACCACAATGCCTAACTCATTTTGTTTGTTTGTTTTTGTAGAGATAGGTTCTCATTATGTTGCTCAAGCTCGTCTTGAATTCCAAGCTCAAGCAATCCACCTACCCTGGTTTTTGCAAACAGCTGGGATTATAAGAGTGAGCAACCAAGCTTAGGTAAACTGAGATTTATTTAAGTAAACTGATTAGTGCTTAGTGTGGTGGTGCACATTGGTTATGTCAGCACTTTGGGAGGCAGAAGTGAAAGGATTACTTAAGACCAGGAGTTTGGGCCAGGCCCAGGAGCTCACACCTGTAATCCCAGCACTTTAGGAGGCAGAGGTAGATGGATGATGCGGTCAAGAGACCGAGACCATCCTGGCCAACATGGTGAAACCCCATGTCTACTAAAATACAAAAAAAAAAAAAAAATCAGCTAGGTGTGGTGGCATACACCTGTAGTCCCAGCTACTCAGGAGACTGAGGCTGGAGAATTGCTTGAACCCCGGAGGCAGAGGTTGCAGTGAGCTGAGATCATGCCACTGCATTCCAGCCTGGCACCTGGTGACAGAGCGAGACTATGTCTCAAAAAAAAAAAAAAACCCACAACACCAGGAGTTTGAGACCAGCCTGGGCAATATAGTAAGATCTTATCTCTACAAAAATAACAATAAAAAAGTAGCCTAGCATGATGGTACACAGCTGTAGATTCAGCTACTGAGGAAGTTGAAGTGGAAAGATTGCTGTTTCAAAAAAGAAAAAAAATTGATAAAGTCTTTATGCAACTCATAATTTTTTAAATGGAAACTCATGCTTGATATTACCTCAGCAGCGTGTCCCTGTAGAAAGTGTCAGAGCCTTTACCTGGACCTGCCAATGGAAAAACAAAACAACAAACAACAACAACAAAAAACACAGTATAGTTAATGTAAAACAAGGTAAGAATACTATTTTATTTAAAACGTCATTTGATGGAATTTTTTTTAAATAAAATATGAGCACTAATATATACAAATAGCTAAAGAAAATGTTCTATTAAATGTATAACAAGTAAAGGAGAAGTAAAAAGGTGATAAGTTGTGTATGTAAACAGGGGTCAGCAGTTGAGTCTATTGAAAGTACCACTAAAGGAGCTGAATTATTAGTTCCCATTTTAAGATACTCTAAGATCTGAGGAAAGTCTGGAAAGATGGAAGAGAAAATGAATAAAGAGAAAGAATAAGGAGGGCAGAGTGTACATGGAATAAATGAAGAAACAGCATGCGGGTATATGTAAAGGAAAGTAGTAAAGTCAAATTGATTTTCAGAAGAAGAGCACAGTGATAGAAATAGAAAAGAAGGTAACATCAGCTTCCAGCACCAAAATGTGTCAGAGAATTAGAGTCACATCTTCCTGCTCTTGCTGTCATTCTCACTATTGGAGAGGGATTAAGGATTGAGGTACCTCACCACACAGACCTGTGTTTTATCTACCATCGATGAGTATCACCATAAATGGGCAGCCATGTATGGCCATAATTTAGTTTTATAGAAAATGTTGTAACTTCATCAGATAGTATCATATAAGCCAAATTGACATAATTGAATAGTGTCATGTGATTTATGGAGAGGAAGTTAGAGAAGGTATAGCCTGATTAAAAATTTATTAAAAACATTATGGCTTATAATGCAGAATTAAATTCAGGAATTTAATGGGGAAGAAATTGAGGGTAAGTTCCAGATGGGCAATTAAGGTAAACAAATGTGGAAGCACATAGGTGTAGAACAGGGCATCCAAATTTTCATGCATTAGTTGAGGAGCTTCTGGGAAATGGACATTCTCATTCAGCATGTGTGGGATTCTGCCCTTCTCAGAAGTACTCAGGAGTACTCAGGTCGTGTTGGTGCTATTCCTTGGACACAGCTCTGAATAACAAGGAAATAGCCCTCCTTTAGAGAAATCTGGAAAAAGAGCCATTGGACAGCAATTTAAAAAAATAACAGAATCAAGGGAAGGCACTAATCTCCTTTTATTTCTGAAGTAGGATTCTAGCCACACAGGAAGCAGAAGTTTGGTGTATACTACTGCTGAATACAGATGAAAAAAAGTCATGACAATTATCCATAAAAAGCAGTTAGGAAGTGAAGCATCAGGATGACAGATCTAAAGATTTCTTTTGCAAAGGAGGAGGGATTGTGAAAGGGCAAGGAGAGGGGAAGAAAAAAAGTTTGTTGGGGGACTTTGGAGTTAAAACCAAGGAAGCTTGAGACACCTCACTTCCAGTTCCTTGGGCATATGCCCAGTCTAGCAAAAGCAGTTATTGCTGTGGAGATTACTGGAGGCAGGAGGGAGTGCTAAAATTGGGGTAAACCATAGCAGCTAAATTCTCTTCATAAACTTCTTCAGAGCAAGAAGTTTCATTGACATGAGTGAATGTGATTAAATTGCATTTTGGCTAATTTTTGGGGGGTCAGCCTGTTCTTTGATATGATAGCTGTTTTATAAAAGTCATTTACAGAGTAAGATGACATGCCAAACTTAGCTAATTTTAGAAGCAGTCATATAAAATTTATTCTGTGACTACCAAAATTGTCATTTTTTTTTTCAAAATTGTCATTTTCTAAGAACAATGCACTGATCTTGAAATATAAAAGTTTATTCTTTTCTATCAAGTCTGTGGCAATTCAGTGTTTTCTCTTTTGATAAATATTTTGATACCGAAAGCTTATTCTTTCTGGTTTATTTGATGTGTTTTAAGTCTTGCATGAGTGGATCAAGGAACTCTTAAGAAAAGGTCAAATGAGAGGATATGAGAAATGTAGGTGCTTCAGTAGCCACGTGGGCATGGGAAAATGAGAATTTTGAGAAACTTATTTCATAAGTGTATATCACAGCTGATCAATTTAGAACACTTTCTTTGATGAGAGGTGAATCACACATTCACCTGAACTGGCATGCCAACTGTGTATTTCCTAAGTGACAGGACAAGGGGAAGCACATGATAAATATTTGTGGTGTTCTGGCATCAATGCCTGTGATGTTTCAAGTTTAAATACTCTGTAGCATTCACCATTAGCCTTGATGTTGATTCTCTCAGGTTATGATTTGCTCCACTGTTTAATGGTCCCTTTTATCCTTATCAGCCCAACGTGTTCACATTAATATCCATACTTTTCTATTTTAGTTATAGGCATTTGAAACAATCTCACTTTTGAAATATAAACTTTGTGATTTAGGGATCCTATATTCCCATTTTACTCAGTATATTTCCATCACGTTGCTGTCCTAGGCAATGAAAAGAAGATGCCAAAAAGAACCCTCAAAACCTTAAGTAATTATTTTCATAGCCAGGCACGAAGACTCAGCTTGATACTAACACTGCATGAATATTTGGTTGGCCCTGTCATACCTACATATAATTGATGACATGTCCCCTTTGCTTTGTAGGGCCTCCTGAATAACATCCTTCCTAGAAGGTAATTATATATATTTATTTTTAATTACTAACTTTATATTGTACAAAATATATCTGATTATTTTCTTTTAAAACCCATTCAGCCTACCACTGAAATGGAAGATCTTGTTGTGAGAGAAGCAGTACAAAGAAAGAATGTACAGACGTTGAGAACAGGTATAGTTTCAATACAAATGGAATGCTGGAACTAAGTACATTAAATGGTTGGAAGTACTCATATTCTTCTTACCCCTAATTTTTTTTATTCTAAATGTTACTGTTAGTATCCATATTTCAATAAAAATAAATTTAAAAGTATAAGAAAATAAGATTTTTAAAATAGGAGTTTTAACTTGGATGTTTCCATTTTAATATTTTGAATAGCATTAACATTCCCAATATGGAATTTTTATACTTGTCGAGGATTCAAAGCAGTGAACTTTGAGACTCTGAGATATTTCCAGTGTCTTAGTGCTAGTTGGAGTTCTGGTATTTACTTAAAGGAATGTTTTACTTAGATTTCAGTTTCTGTATTAACTTTAGAGACTTCCCGTTAATGCTATTACACCTATGATCTAAAGCCAATGAAATGTTCTAATGAGCAGACTGTGTATGCATGTGTGTGTATGGGTGTGTTTGTGGCATCTTTAATTATCAAAAACTAGGAAAGTAATCATTCATTCATAACTGGAAGACAGTCTTTTAAAATGGTGGTTTTGAGACTTTCTGGTATAAGTTTTTTTTTTTTTTAATAATTGCATTGGTTGTAAAAATACAACCAACATCATGAACATCACTGAGACTACCAACATCATTTGCTGTTTTCCATTTCAATACCCTTTTGAAATCCTTAACTATATTGTGATGCTCAGAAATAATATGCAGAATTTTTATGTGTCCTATATCTACACTTTACATATCTTTCTGCCACTTTCTTTTGTGTACTTTGTATTATATTTTCCAGATGTATCCACATTGATATGATTAGCTCTGGTTTAATTCATTTTACATGTTTCATTGTATTCCCTTATACCATTCTACCACATTTAATTAGACTCTCCTGTTCCTGATAAATGAAGAAAGAAAAAAAAAAAGAAAAGAAAAATAGGCTGGGCGTGGTGGCTCACACCTGTCATCCCAGCACTTTGGGAGGCTGAGGCAGGTGGATCATGAGGTCAGGAGAACGAGACCATTCTGGCCTACATGGTGAAACCCCATCTCTATTAAAATATAAAAAATTAGCTGGGTGTGGCACCGCATGCCTGTAGCCCCAGCTGTACGGGAGGCTGAGACACAGAAATCACTTGAACCTGGGAGGCAGAGGTTGCAGTGGGCCAAAATTGCACCACTGTACTCTAATCTGGCAGCAGAGCAAGACTGTCTCCAAAAAAAGGAAAAAAAAAAAGGAAAAATAATGCCAGATTAAAAGGGGCTTTTGTTTAATCAGTTTATATCTGTGAATATTTACTATATCAGGGTTTAAGGCTGAGAAGTTCAGAATGCAAGCATGTACCACCATATTTTACAAATGCCCTTAGAATTATGACTCATGAGCCTTTAGCCTATGAAGTTTTGACAATTCATTTCTCTAAAGAAGTTTACTGTTCTCTTAAAAAAAAAAAAAAAAAGACTGAAAACAGCAAATGACATTGTCTTATTTGATCTCTTGGACATCCTTGAATGAAACTGCAACTTACTCATATCAAAATTCAGAACCAAAGTTTTGAACAATATGAACAATATATATAGTTTGTGAATATCTCGTGATCATGAGCCCATGATAACGAAATGGCCTTTCAAGTTTTACTTTTGCATTTTTTGCTTTTTCTTGACTTGTCTTACAAAAGCTTAAATTCAAGTTTTATTTCTACAGAAAGCAGGAATATAATTTTTTAATATATTTCTGTCCTATCTCATGGCATTGAGAACTCTTCAGATCTAGTGTGGACCTAGACTTACTTTTACACGGAACAATTAGGTTTGTTTCTTTTTTGTTGTCGTTGTTGAGACAGTCTTCTGTGATGTGGTTCAGAGTGGATAAGCTCTTAAAGCAGTCATCTTTCCAGTGGTTCCTTCTGTGGGCGGACAAATGGCAGATGAATTTGGGCCTTGTTAGATGTAGGGCAGAGCACATAGCTACAACTAAGTAAAAGAGCCAGCACCTTCCCCAAGACTATTGGCCAGAGTAACACATTAATATCTCTTGAGCGCTTCCCCACTGGCAGCTGGAAAGTTTTTGCAAGAGTCCCTGTTTCTGGTCTGATTCCTAGGTTTTGCTGAATTCTGGTGATATGGTGTTTTATCCTAAACTGCAGTTTTAAGAGCTAAAGAGAATGTGTTGTGTTACAACAAATTAAGTGCAGTGGTTCCCCCTTAACTGTGGGAGATACATTCAAAGGCCCTCTGAATGCCTGAAAGCACAAATAGTACTGAATCACTCACTGTTTTTTTTCCCTATACATATCTATGTTAAAGTTTAATTTATAAATTAGGTGCAGTAAGAAATTAACAACAACTAAAGGAAAATGGAAAATTATAGTAATATGCTGTAATAAAAATTATTTGAATGTGCTCTCTTAAAATATATGGTATGGTTCTCACCCTTTTTCCTGTGATGATGTGAAGTGATACAATGCCTATGTAATGAGATGAAGTGAGGTATGATGTAGGCATTGTCAAGTAGTGTCAGGTCACGATTCACCCCCTGACTCTAGGTCAGAAAAAAGATTACCAGCTTTGAGTGTTCCTGGACCTTCAGGCCTTAATGATGTTGATGGCTGGATGCAGGCAGAGACCATGTTGATGACTAATGGCTGGACAGCACAAGCAGTGTGAATGCACTGGACAAAGGAATGATTCACAGCCTGGGATGGATAGAGGGCAAGAGCTCAAGATTTTATTGTGCTTCTCAGACTGGTACACTAACACTTATGACTTGTTTATTTCTGGAGTTTTCAATGTAGTATGTTTGGAATACAGTTAACTGTTAGTAGCTGTAACTACATAATTCAAAACTGCAGATGTAAAATCTGTGTTTGGACTTTGACTCATTTCTTGGTGTACAATTCTTAAACTCCTTCGAATTTCCAAAGTGATGTCTTTTGGTATGCTAATGATCAATGGCTGGAAGCTCCTAGGTATATTCAAGATGGGAACTGGTCACCATCATGAAGACATGGCTGATTAGAGGGTTGAGTTCTTCTTTCTCACTCTGCAAACTCTGGGGAGGAGAGAAGGGATAAAGGTTGTCAGTCACCAACAGCCAGTGATTAGTTAGTGATGCCTATGTACTGAAGCTTTCATAAAGACCCAAAGGGACTAGGTTTGGAGAGCTTCCAGATTGCTGAATACATGGAGGTTCCGGGAGGGTGGTGTGTCCTGAGAGAGCATGGAATCTCTGCCGCTAACCCCAGACTTTGCAATATGCATCTGCTCATCTGTACCTTTTGTGACGTCATTCACAGTACGTTGGTAAGTGTGTTTCCCTGAGTACTTTGAGCCATTCCAGCAATTCAATTTAACCCAAAGAGGGAGTCCTGGGAACCCCAATTTGAAGCCGATTGGTAGGAAGTTCTGGAGTTTCAGACTTAGGACTGATGTAGGGAGGCAGTCTCATGGGACTGATGAGCCCTTTACCTGTGCAGTCTGATGCTATCTGCAGACAGTGTGAGAACTGAATTAAATGACACCCAGTTTGTGTCATCTGCAGAAGTGATTGCTTGCTTGTTGGTGGGGAAAACCTCTCCACACATTTGGTCACAAAAGCCTTCTTTGTTGCTTGTTGCTGTGGTGCGAGAACAGAGAAAAACATGGCAAGTGTGTCTTTTCCACACATATAGTGGATAAGGGGTACTAGTTTACTGTTTTAAGTGCACCCCTCATATTTTGGTCCAGAAATCATGCTCTTTGACACTGGTCACTCATTCCATCTGTTCTGCTAACAATACCATTTTTAGCCAATTTCATAGGGTTTGGCTAGGATGACTTATATACTGCAGTTCACTTGTAGATATCAAATTTTGATAAATTTATGCTTTGCGTTTAATAAATAAAAAGTAAGGGAAGTAAGAATTCTTACTGCATTAATTATATACCAATAGGTATAATTTATATTAATTCTAATAAGGTCCCAGGTATGCTCTCAAATCAATGATTTGTAACAAAGCATCAGTCCTATACTTTAAAGAAAAATGATCTAAATCATGCACACAACTGCATATTTTTTTTTTTTTATGAAGGTAGAGTCTTGCTATGTTTCCTAAAGCCTCAAACTTCTGGGTTTCTCAAGTGATCCTCCTTCCTCAGCCTCCCAAATAGTTGAAATTACAGGCATAATCACTGTACTTTCTTATGGTTTTAATTTTCTATACATTATTGATTTAAAATGCATTTTACCTTTTCCTTTAATAGATTCTGGGAGTTCTGATGAATCTGCAGTCAGGTAGGATTTTACAGATTTTAAAAATTATGTTAACTAAGAAAATATAGATGGAAGAAATTAATATCTATTGAGTGTTGTATTCTGGGCTAACCACCCTATTATGTGCTATGTATTTATCTCATAAAGCCATCACAACATCTGTTTTCTTATAACCTGTTTATTAAATAAGCAGCTGTGGTTTAGAGAGGTTGATTAATTGGATCATGATCCCATAGTTCACAAAGTAGCTGACCAAGAGTTTGACCATCAGCCTATCTGGCTTTCAAATCTTTTCTCTTGCTCCTCAGTACAGATTGATAGAGATATCTGTGCAGCACTTTGATTAATGTATAGGTCTGTGTAAGATTAGTCAGATTAATGTCTAAATTAATGAGTTTAAATAAGTTCAACTCTCATTTTAGGTTACTGTTAGAAATAAGGTTAGTCACTGAATTTGTCCTAATAAATTTGACAATTTTTGTGGTACCAGCATCTTTTTATCTTTTTTTTTTTTTTTTTAATTAACCATCAAAGTCTTTAAGGCAGAGTTAAGGTTTGGCCATAGAACTGGAAGTTTTACAAAACCAAGATTTGGCAAGTCTCAGAGATAAATTATTTAACTTCCAGTTTTGTTTTCCCTTTAGACTAGTATTTCTGCCTACTTCCATAATGCTTTATTATTTTTTTCTTTTTCCATGATTTTTTTTCCTTGGTGTTGCTTTTGTTATGTTTTTAAATTCTGCTGGGTATGTATTCCCGTATTCCCAGTTTTCCTATAGACAGAACCAAAAGCACACAGAATTACAGATATTTAAGGAATCTTAGGACTAATTAAAATATCTTCTAGTACTTCTATCTGTGTCATATGTTCTGGTCAAATGATTTTCTAGATAGAGAACTCGAGACTCAAAAGAGATTAGGATGTTTCTTTTTTGGACATAAGATGTGGTAGAAATGAGATTTGAATTTGTTTTAAAGCCCAATACTCTTCCTTCTTTTTTTTATTCTATTGGCATTTGTTGTTGTTGTTTGAGACAGAGTTTTGCTTCTGTTGCCAAACTTAAGTGCAATAGCACAATCTTGGCTCACCGCAACCTTTGCCTCCCGGGTTCAAGCGATTCTTCTGCCTCAGCCTCCTGAGTATCTGGGATTACAGGTATGCACCACCATGCCTGGATAATTTTGTATTTTTAGTAGAGATGGGGTTTCTCCATGTTTGTCAGGCTGGTCTCGAACTCCTGACCTCAGGTGATCTGCCCGCCTCGGCCTCCCAAAGTGCTGGGATTACAGGTGTGAGCCACCACACCTGGCCTGGCATGTGTTAATAATACAAAGGGGGAGTGGGTCTGGTGCACCCAGTGGTTAGAATGAGAAGGGAATTAGCTGGTGAACCCAATGGAAATGGCTAAGAATGGATAACCAGGGCAAGGCCAAGTTTGAAGAGAAATGACACTGGATATGGATTATTCAATAAGAGATTAGAATATTGGGGTTTATGACGTCTGATAAATTATAAAGATGAAGGACACAAGATATTGGGAATTAACTACAAAGGGACATTAAAATAGAGGGTTCAAGGAAGCTCTAAACAGATTGCTGTGCTCTTTTTAAATCAAGAACTGACAAACTTAAAGATTTTTGCTGTTAAGATGCTAAAACATTTGGAGACACTAGGAGGAGTCTCTACAGCAAGACAGAAATGTGGTATCATATAATTCCATCCTGACTTACAGAAGGGTGGCTCGCCGGGCGCGGTGGCTCACGCCTGTAATCCCAGCACTTTGGGAGGCCGAGGCGGGTGGATCACGAGGTCAAGAGATCGAGACCATCCTGGTCAACACGGTGAAACCCCGTCTCTACTAAAAATACAAAAAATTAGCTGGGAGGTGGCGTGTGCCTGTAATCCCAGCTACTCGGGAGGCTGAGGCAGGAGAATTGCCTGAACCCAGGAGGCGGAGGTTGCGGTGAGCCGAGATCGCGCCATTGCACTCCAGCCTGGCTAACAAGAGCGAAACTCCGTCCCAAAAAACAGAAGGGTGGCTCAGAGCCCCTTCAGTACTGATGGGCTGGAGACTGCTGAACTACATAGATCTGTGGCCTAGGGCAGGTGTCTCCTCATCTCTGCCTCTTTTCTCAATTCACTGATGTCCTTCCCATATCGGTGTAGGTTGTGTCAGGGGCATCATTGGCTGTCAAATCAGTCATGAAGTTCAGCTGGGTAGTTGGAGGTGTGTCTGTACTGGTAGGTAGTGGAGACTTCAGTTAGGTTGTTTTTCAGGAGCAGGGCTATAGAGCGCTCCCTCCCACTCCTGGTCATTTGAGATCATCCTTTCAGGAATCTGTGCTTTCATAGACTGAAGATTTGAAGATCACTGGAAACTGCCATGGAGCCCTGCATAAGTGAAATCTGGAAGTGGGAACCTATAGGAAGAAAGATATTTAGGTATTACGGAAACAGAGGTACAACTGCCAGGACTCTGTTTTTCCAGCAGTCTCTCTCATTGGATATCTGAGTGCCTATGAAGGTTTTTAAGGGCTAATTAGTTTATGTGGACCTGAATAAGGTAGGACCCATAGAGTGAAAATAATTGGATTTTTATAATTATCTGGGAAGAGTATCCTCAAGAAAATATACCTTCATTATTAGACTTTTGTACATTTAGCCCTCACACATTTCAAATACAGCAGGGGATTCTCTGCACTCTTTTAGGACAAAAGAAAGCACTAGGACCTTCGTAAGTGGTTTTCATGCTGAGGAATCAAGACTGCCATTTTCAAGTGACACAGACTAGTCTTTTAACCAGATAGATAATGGACAAGAGACAATGGATCTTTCTACCTTGTTTTAGGTCATAAGGTTCCTACCAGTTTAGGTGACAAAAGTTATGTCATCCATTAACTGAATTTCATGTTCTGCTTCAAGACAGATAACTGGTGAGAGTAAATTATTGTCAAGCTCTGCCAGTATATTGGCTGTCACTATTTGTTATGGAGCTCAGTCAGTTTTAACTGAATATTTTATAGATTAAGACAGCTGGAGGCAGAAATAGGTAACCAAAATCTATTTTTAGAACAGAGGTCATATTTTAATTGTGTCAAGAAATGTTACTTGATATACAGATGGCTGATCTTTTCCCAGATTGTGTTTTTGTTTTTTGGAGGGGGAAGCTGAACATGAACTGGGAGTTAAAAAATTTGTAAAAAATCAACAACAAAAAAATCAACTTGCTCATTTTTATTGTATATTTTTGCTCTAAAGCATTTTTCACTAACTGCGTGTGGATTCATACCCTAAACCAGATGGTGAAGACTTGACTTACTACCAAGGTAAAGTGGTCTCTTGTGACATTTTCTCACCAGTCAACTTTTGCTAGTATTTACTTTTAAAATTTAGCAGTGGTTTACCTATTATTGTTTTATGATGTAAGTTATGGAAAGTTGGTCAGAGAAACCCATAGACATATGGCCAGTTGATTTAAATTTTTTTTTTAATGTTGGTAACTAACAAAAGATTGATGAGTACTGAGATAGTGTGGGCTGAACAAAAATGAACTGGAAGATACATAGCAACAGAAAAATCACATTAGGAAATGCTTTCCCCAACAGAGAAAATATGAAATTTGGTTAAGGTTTAATTAGATAAATATTAATACTTTGACTTTTAAATCATACTAGTGTGACATCTATATTTTTGCCAGTATAAATCTTCAGTGGATCAAATTACTTGTGGTAATCATGGAATCTCCCTGGCACCTTTTAGTTAAAAAACTGTACAACAAATAGCATATAGCTGTTTTTCTTGGACACTTATTATTTGGGTATTATATATTTGGCAGAAGAGATTGTTCCTCTACCTATGTTATTGGTTCTGTAGTGAGATTAAAATATTAAAAATTGTAGAAAGAATAGCTGGGTGTGGTGATATATACCTATAGTCCCACCTACTTTGGAGTCTGAGGTTGCCTAGGCCCAGGAGTTCTGGGGTACATATGCAGAACATGCAGGTTTGTTACATAGGTATACACATGCTATGGTGGTTTTGTTGCATCCATCCCCGTCATCTACATTAGGTATTTCTCCTAATGTTATCCCTCCCCAATCCCTCCACCCCCTGCTATCCCTCCCTTACCCCCCTCTCCTCCTGACAGGCCCCAGTGTGTGATGTTCCCCTCCCTGTGTCCCTGTGTTCTCATTGTTCAACACCCACTTATGAGTGAGAACATGTAGTGTTTTGTTTTCTGTTCTTGCATCAGTTTTCTGAGAATGATGGTTTCCAGTTTCATCCATGTCCCTACAAAGGACATGAACTCATCCTTTTTTATGGCTGCATAGTATTCCATGGTATATATGTGCCACATTTTCTTTATCCAGTCTATCATTGATGGGCATTTGGGTTAGTTTTAAGTCTTTGCGATTGTAAACAGTGCCACAATAAACGTGTGTGCATATGTCTTTATAATAGAATGATTTATAATCTTTAGGGTATATACCCAGTAATGGGATACCTGGGTCAAATGTTATTTCTAGTTCTATATCCTTGAGGAATTGCCACACTATCTTCCACAGTGGCTGAATTAATTTACACTCCTGCCAACAATGTGTAAATATGTTCCTATTTCTCCACATCCTCTCCAGCATCTGTTGTCTCCTGATTTTTTAATAATTGCCATCCTAACTGGCATGAGATGGTATCTCGATGTGATTTTGATTTGCATTTCTCTAATGACCAGTAATGATGAGCTTTTTTTCATGTTTGTTGGCTGCATAAACATCTTTTGAGAAGCGTCTGTTCATATCCTTTGCTCACTTTTTGATGGGGTTGTTTTTTCTTGTAAATTTGTTTAATTTCTTTATACATTCTGGATATTAGCCCTTTGTCAGATGGGTAGATTGCAAAAATTTTTTTCCATTCTGTTGGCTGCCAGTTCACTCTAATGATTGTTTCTTTTGCTGTGCAGAAGCTCTTAAGTTTAATTAGATCCCACTTGTCTATTTTGGCTTTTGTTGCTAAGTCTTATGTTTAAATCTTTAATACATCTGGAGTTAGTTTGTGTATAAGGTGTAAGGAAGGGATGCAGTTTCAGCTTTCTGCAGATGGCTAGCCAGTTTTCCCAACACCACTTATTAAATACGGAATCCTTTCCCGATTGCTTGTTTTTGTCAGGTTTGTCAAAAATCAGATAGTTGTAGATGTGTGGCATTACTTCTGAGGCCTCTCCTCTATTCCATTGGTCTATATCTCTGTTTTGGTATCAGAACCATGCTGTTTTGATTACTGCAGCCTTGTGGTATAGTTTGAAGTCAGATAGCATGATACCTCCAGCTTTTTGTTGTTGTTGTTTTGCTTAGGATTGTCTTGGCTATGTGGGCTCTCTTTTGGTTATATATGAAGTTTAAGGTAGTTTTTTCCAATTTTGTGAAGAAAGTCAATGGTAGCTTGATGGGGTAGCATAGAATGTATAAATTATTTTGGGCAGTATGGCCATTTTCACAATATTGATTCTTCCTAACCATGAGCACGGAATGTTTTTCCATCTGTTTGTTTCCTCTGTTTCCTTGAGCAATGGTTTGTAATTCTCCTTCAAGAAGTCCTTTCATCCCTTGTTAGATGTATTCCTATTTTACTCTCTTTATAGCAATTATGAATGGGAGTTCACTCATGATTTGGCTGTTATTGGCATGCAGGAATGCTTGTGACTTTTGCACATTGATTGTGTATTCTTAGACTTTGCTGAATGTGCTTATCAGCTTAAGGAGATTTTGGGCTGAGATGATGGGGTCTTCTAAATATACAATCATGTCATCTGCAAATAAAAACAATTTAACTTTCTCTTTTCCTAGTTGAATACCCTTTATTTCTTTTTCTTGACTAATTTCCCAGACCAGAACTTCCAATACTATGTTGAGTAGGAGTGGTGAGAGAGGGCATCCTTGTCTTGTGCCAGTTTCCAAAGGGAATGCTTCCAGTTTTTGCCCATATACTGTTTCTGTCTGTGGGTTTGTCAAAAATAGCTCTTATTTTGAGATACGTTCCACGAATACCTCATTTCTTCAGCGTTTTTATCATAAAGGTCTGTTGAATTTTGTCGAAGGCGTTCTCTGCATCTATTGAGATAATCATGTAGTTTTTTGTCTTGGTTCTGTTTATGTTTACAAATTTGCATATGTTGAGCCAGCCTTGCATTTTGAGGATGAAGCTGATTTGATCATGATGGAGCTTCTTGATGTGCTGCTGGATTCAGTTTGCCAGTATTTTATTGAGGATTTTCCCATTAAGGTTCATCATGGATATAGGCCCGAAATTTTTTTTAAGTTGTGTCTCTGCCAGGTTTTGGTATCAGAATGACATTGGTCTCATAAAATGAGTTAGGTAGGATTCCCTCTTTTTGTATTGTTTTGAATAGTTTCAGAAGGAATGGTACCAGCTCCTCTTTTTATCTGTGGTAAAATTCAGCTGCGAACCTGTCTGGTCCTGGACTTTTGTTTGGTAGGCTATTAATTGCTGCCTCAATTTCAAACCTCATTATTGGTCTATTCAGGGATTTAACTTCCTCCTGGTTTAGTCTTAGGGAGTGTACATGTCCAGGAATTTATCTATGTCATCTAGATTTACTGGTTTATTTGCAAGAGGTGTTTGTAGTAATATCTGA